CATCCCTTGTGGACCTCCAGCAAGCAGTTAGTCTTACGTGAACATACCTGCTTTCCCTTTTACTTTTGTTTTTTGAGGGGTGCCTGGCTGGCTCAGTAGAGTCTGCGACTCTTGATCTCAGGTTTGTGAGTTGCCATATTGGGCATGGAGCCTACTTAATAAAATGTAAAAAATAAATAAAAAATTAAGTTTCTTGAGATTATGTACAGTACTGCCTATCCTTGAAAATTAGAAATAAATGAAGTAGTTGAATCAACACGTTCAATCTCTCCCCGTGGTGGAAGTGAACTAATGATCTACATAATATGATTTAAGTAACATTTTCCTCCTCTTTTCTAATATTCTGTTGCTGAACGATTGATAAAGTGAATGTCGCTGTTTTTGCCCGACCTTTTCAGATTATTTGCCAAGCAGGGATATAGATCCACCTTCAAATGGGGCTTATAATTTTCTGATGATGATTTGTGGCCCCCGCTCCGATACGTACAAACATCACATGACAAGAGGCCATCGTTGTTTAAATTGTAAAATATACATCACGTAATATTGACCATTTTACCCGTCTGAGTGTAGAGTTCAGTCAGTCGTATTAGGTTCACTCACATGGGTGTGCAACCATCACCACTGTTCATCTTCCTCCCATGCTGAAACTGAACCTGTGAAACAGTCTCTGTTTGCTCTTCCGTAGTCCTGGCAACCTTCATTCCACCTGTTGTTTTTAATGAATTTGACTATTGTAGGTATTTCAGGTAAATGGAGTCCGACAGTATTTGTCAGTTTGTGTCTGGAATAATGTCTTTAAGAGGTCATCTTATTTAAAAATAATTTCAAGTTTGGGTATTGGTGGATGAGGTAATATAGACAGAGCTTCTCTCTGAGAACTAACACAATTGGACAGAATAATAGTAAGAGGAAAGTGTTTGGAGTGCCTACATGACAACGAATTACGGGTCCATAATCTGCAAGAAGAGAGAACCAGAGAAGTGAGCCCAGCTTCAGACCTCTATTTACCTAGAGGCACGTCTCAGTTTTGAAGGAGGGGACTAAGCAGAGCTTCTGGCGGATTCCTGGGACTAGCAGAACAAGAACTCGGGAGTTAGAACCTGCTCATGAGGGAGGGTTTTCTTGGTAAGCCTTGGGCCATGATTTGGGACCCCCAAGCCCCATCCCCTGGGAAGAGGTTTGCCTCAGAATGAGGCTGGTCTTTACGGGAACTGATACCCAGCCTCTAATAACTTCATTCATTCTGGGATTAAGGTGATTTCAGATTGTTAGTTTTCCTAGCTGCTTGCCAGAAGCAAATGGGTGAATCTTCCCTGGAAAAATATAACGTCATTGTAGGCTTCACAATTTCCGTACAGTTGTCCACACACAGCGTCTGGCATGAAATCAAAATCACCAGGCTCGTGAGGAGGCAAGAGGGGTGGTAACAGAACAGACCCACTGGGAATCCAGAATTAACTTTAGAGTAACTCTCCTTAACATATTCAAGCAACTAGCACAAGGTTGAGAATTTCAGCAGAGAATAGAAACTTGAAAAAAGAACCACATGGAAATTTCAGAATTGGAAGCTCAGTGCTGTTAACAGTTCGCTAGTGGGTTTTACAGCCAACTAGGGACAGCTAAAGAGAAGCAGTAAACGGAATATAGGTCAGAAGAAAATATTCAGGGGCACCTTGGGTGGCACAGTCGGCTCAGGTTGTGATCCTAGGGGTCGTGAGATGGAGCCCCGCATCAGGCTCTGTGCTAGGGGTGGAGCCTGCTTAGGATTTTCTCTCTTCCTATGCCCCCCACCCCAAAAAGAAGAAGAAAATATTCAAACTGAAACTAAGAAATTCTGAGAGAGGAAAAGTATGGACACATAAAAAAACACAGGGAAACAAAAACTAATTCCAGAAGGTATATGCACCCATATGTTTATTGCAGCAGTATTTACAATAGGCAAAATGTGGAAGTAACCCAAGTATTTGCTGATGGACACATGGATAAAGAAGATGTAGTGTGTGTACACAAGAGAATATTACTCGGCCATAAAAAAGAATGAAACCTTGCCGTTTGCAACAACATGGATGGATTTGGAGGTTATGATACTAAATGAAATAAATGGAGGTTATGATACTAAATGAAATAAAAGACAAATACCATATGATTTCACTTACATGTGGAATCTAAAAAACAAAAACAGAAAACAGAAATAGATTCATAAATCCAGAGAATAAATGGGGCATTGCCAGAGGGGAGGGATGGGGGGTGGTGAAAAAGATGAAGGCAATTAAGAGAAAAAAGACGATTGTGGATGTAGTGAAAAGTATAATGTATGTGTAATTGGACGCATGAGGAGAGGAGAGACTAGGACAGAAGAAAAACTGAGGTCACGAGAAAGAATTTTCAGAAGTTAACAATAGAACATCAATGTAGAAATGCTGTAAACCTTAAGTGGGATAAATACAGAGAAAACCATATATAAACCCATCATATGAAATCATTATAAACTAAATGCAGTGTGAGACCTGTGAGCAGCCAGTGAAGACAAAACAGCTTGGAGATGCTGCAGCAAATGGTCAGCTGACTTCTCAGTAGAAGCAGCAAAAACTGAGAAGACAGTGGGCTTGAAAGAAAACAAGTGGCCTACGTAATAAAAATCCTCTTCGAAAATGAAGGTGAATTAAAGACATTTTCTGACAAAAATGGAGAGAATTCATCACAAGATCTATATTGAAAGAAATTGAAATTCTGAAATGTGTTCCTCATGATCAGAAGCTTGGAAAGGGCAGAAGGAATAAAAAGTAGCAGCAGGTGTAAATATGGGCAAATCTTCAGTGATCATCTGTTGTATAAAGTAACAGTGAGGTGTTGATGCATGTCATACTCTCTAGGGCAGTGAAAGCTTGTATAACTAGCAAGCTAGTAGAAGGGTAATAATAATACACTCTTAAAGAAGGTGGGATGTAGGGGCACCTGGGTGGCTCAGTTGGTTAAGCGACTGCCTTCGGCTCAGGTCATGATCCTGGAGTCCCTGGATCAAGTCCCACATCGGGCTCCCTGCTCAGCAAGGAGTCTGCTTCTCCCTCTGACCCTCCCCCCTCTCATGTGCTCTCTCTCTCAAATAAATAAATAAATAAATCTTAAAAAAATAAAAAGAAGGTGGGATGGAGTTAGCCCCAAATTCATATATAATTTACATGAAACATAATAAATTGACCGAACCCTCCAGTGAAAAGCGGAGACAGGCAGATTGTGTAAGTCATGCAGAATTAATAATCTGAATATAAAACTGTAGCTGCACACTAGGAATTGAGGCTAGCCACAGCAACAGTGAAGAACGACAGAGGAAGGACGACATACTCTAGTGGCAGTCAAGGTTTAGGATAGAGCTACGGTAATTAAGACACTGTGATGTTGGCTCAGAGATAGGCATGTTGACCAGTAGAACAACAGAGCCATCTAGACACTTGATTTATGAAAAAAGTAAGCCCGCAGCATAGTTAATAGATCGTGCTGGATTGATTGGATGGCCATATTGAAATGAAAAGGAAACTCGAACCTTATTTCACACCAGAGGCTAAACTTTCCAGGTGGATTAGGAGATGTAACTATGAAAGTAGAACAGTAAAGCTCCTAAAATAATATGGAATAATATTTTCATGGTCTTGGAATTGAGAAGCACTTTTTAAACAAGTTACAAAAAGCATTAACCATGAAAGGAAAAGATCACTACTTTGGACTGAATAAAAGTTAAGAACTTGCATTCATCAGAAGACACCATTCAGGGAGTGACAAGGCAGGCTGTACCCTGGGAGAAGGTATTTGCAGCCTGGATAACCCGCGGTGGGGTCCTGTCCAGAATGTATAAAGGACTCTTCCAAATCAGCAGAGAAAAAGATGGACAGCTCAGTAGAAAAACAGGCAAGAGATTTAATTTAAGCAGGTGTTCATAGAAGATATCCACATAACCGTTAGAACATGGAACAGTACTAAATCTCATTAGTAATCAGGGATATATGCAACTGGAACCACAGTGGTATGGTACTCATACCTACCAGAAGTGCTCAGATAAAGGCAGACAATTGCCGTTGTAATGTTGTATGTGTGCTTACGCAAGCTGTTGTATGCTGCCATGGAAGTGAAAATTGATAGAACCAATTTGCAAAGCTACTTGGAGTTGTCTGCTGAAGTTGAGCATGTCTTTGGCCTGTGACAACTCCACTCCTGGGTATACGCTCAACAGAATGGGTGCCCATGTGCAGCAGAAAATATTTAGTAGGGTGTTCATAACCAGTGTTTTTAATAGTGCCAAACTGCAAGCAATGCAAATGTTCATGAATGGGAGGATGGGTAAATAAGCGTGGTTGGTACGATGGAACACCACAGAGCGGTGAAAAAGAATAAACCAGAGCTGCGTGCAACGGAGAGCTGACTCCCACGAACAGTCCTGAGGAACGGAGAGCAGACACTGACAGTAGGTACCGTGTAGCTCCGCTTACGTAAATTCAGAAGCCCGAGAACTGATCTGTGATGCTAGAACTGTGGCCGGCGCCACATGTTAAGCATGTTAAAATATATTTAATGAGGGTGTAGATTTTTTGTTGTTGTTTTTCTGTTGATTTACTGTTTTAAGGCCAGACCTTTGTAACATCAGACAGCTTACCTTCCATCAGACTGTTATTTCTGCTGGCTGATTTTACCAGAGGGAATGGTTTTTAACCTTTTTTTTGCCAAGGCCCGTGAGGAACAGGTTTGAATGAGTACATCCAGTCAGGGTTTGTTGATTCTGCTGAGTATTAGGTTGACTCCGTGAGGCATCCCTGTCTTTCAGGTGGTGATAAATTGTGCCATCCCTAAGGGGTTGAAGTACAATCAGGCTACGCAGACCTTCCACCAGTGGCGAGATGCTCGACAGGTGTATGGCCTCAACTTTGGCAGCAAGGAGGATGCCAATGTCTTCGCAAGTGCCATGATGCATGCCTTAGAGGTGTTGAATTCCCAGGAAACAGGTACGGTGTCTGGGTTTACTTGTTTTCTCGAAGTGCCATGTATATGTGAATGTGAAATATATTTGAAGTTAATTCTTGAATTTCAAAACAAAACTTTGGTTTGTTGACGATAAACATATGGTCTAGAAGGATAATCTCATGAGATTGGTTAGTCAGTCAATTTTTAACCCTCTCTTTTGAAGATAGTTATGCTCCTCCTGCTCTAGAACCTCAGCTTTTCTTGCATGATGTGAGGCTCAGAGAATATGCAGTGGATAGAAGTTATGTGTATGTATCATCTTGCCCTTGTACGAAGAAACACATGTTTTCTGAAACATGTTTTTTAAGTCATTACCGAGCCCATTAATTTCAAGTAGGACTGGATTCCCTTCCTCCACGTTCATAGAACTTGATCCTGAAAGTTGTTTAAAGATTTTAGGAGTGCCCTCAGGTGGTACGAGCCATGAATTGCATCTCCTCTTACACTGCATGGTGGTTAAAAAGAGAGGCAGAAATAATTCACTGTTTAAGAACCCAGGATTTAAATCTGTGTATGCATCAGAGATGAACTGTTTTTTAGTTTTGGTTCACAAGATGGAAGAGGAAAAATGCCAATGTGTGGTGAACTCTTTGGGGAGAGATAGATTTTATATTCTAAAAATAAGTTATGTGTAAAACAATGCAAATGTGATTTCTCTTGCTTTTGTTGCGTGCTTAGTAGTGATGTTGAATATACAAATGTGCCATAAGCAAAATGTATTTATATATTTTAAGAGGAGAGATAGAGTAATTTTTGATATTTTGTTGAAGGTATAGAGTTTCAAAACCTGTTATAGATATGTTAAATTTTTATACTATGTCTTATTCTAAGAAGGGTTGAAACATCTAGCTCGTGGGTTAGTCTATTTCAGATACGAATTTCAGAGTAAGAAGACATTTTGGAATCTTGCCGAAACCACCTTTTTATGCCTGTAGATGTTTTATATGAGCTCTTTTGAGGAAATTAAGATTTCTGTAAAGCGTTGGTACATAGCTCTTACATCTTACCTGTTTTGAGAAACCTCTGGAGCTCCTGGTTTGTCAGTAAGTCCAGAGGGTAGCAGAGAGAAGCCCTCGGGTGTGCACCGTCTCAGGTGTAGATGCTCTGAATGCCCACATGTCCGTCTCGTGTCGGCTTTCTGCTGCAGGGGTAGAATGCCCCCTTGTTGTGGTCTCACCATAGCAGAGAAACTAGAATTGTGGCTCTTAATACCCTACGAAGACGCCAACTGCACACCAAATAATGAAAGACCCAAAATGTAGAGGTTGTATATAGGACACTGACATTTTGGCTTCCCCATATTTGAAATGAACTAGCATTTTTATTTCTAAACCTTCAAAAGAGTGTCCATGGATGATATTAGGAACTAAATGTTACTAAAGTGGTTAAAATGATTATTTCTTATCTTGTCATCAATTTGTTTTTAACCCAATGGAAAGGATTGTTTTTATCAGTGTGTAGTCCTATAGTTTGTTTTCAGAATGCAAGTGCTAATGTTTTTTCTTCTGATCTCCATCTTTTGAAATTAATGAGTCTTAGTGTGGAGAGGCTACGTTACATTCTCTTGTAATTTTCGCATTCTAGAAAGTTTGGCAAGTGGGAAACTCGCCCATCCTCTCACTAGCTACGAGCATTTTGGTAAGGCAAAAAAATTTAATAGAGTCTTCTTAGATGATCTCGAAATTTGTTCTTTTCTTTTTTTTTTTTTAAAGATTTTATTTATTTATTTGACAGAGACAGAGAGAGCAGGAACACAAGCAGCGGGAGGGGGAGAGGGAGAAGCAGGCTTCCCCCCGAGGAGGGATCCCGATGTGGGACTCGATCCCAGGACCCTGGGATCATGACCTGAGCCGAAGGCAGATGCTTAACGACTGAGCCACTCAGGCGCCCGAAATTTGTTCTTTTCTGTGTCACAGCCTGGGCCTGTCATGCCGTGGGCCGAGGGGAGGGGGACAGTGGTGGAACAGGGGGCCCGACTTAACCATCTCCCTGCGGGGAGACTTTGGTTTTTAGCAATTTCATCAGAGAAAACAAAGCACGGGTAATGATTTATTTAGAAAATGACTTTTCTCTTAAATTACTGTAGTTAAGCACTAATTTCTGATCTTTGACGGTATTAACTGGCTTGGAAGTGGATGCACAGGAGGATTTGGGTGCTGAGAATCAGAAGGTAGAGTTTTCTCTGTAGATCTCCGCAGTGGGACACAATGTCCTCCCCCCCACCCCCTGGATTATTTAGTGGCTCGTCCGTCCACCTGAACAAACGTACCCAGTGATGTCGCCTCTCATCTTGAGCGCACCTTCCCTTTCCACAGCCGTTTGCTGTGGGTTCACAGCCTGTTTCTTGCTGAAACCATCTCTTGTCTTCCTGCCAGAGCCACGTTGAAAAAGCTTAACTTGGTGTCCCCTCCCTAAGCAAACAGTATACCCAATGAACCTCAGATCAGAAGCAACAGAAACAAACATTCCCAAAGGTGAAGTGACTGCAGGCATCAGTCTTTCCTGCTGCCTAGTGATTTGCCATGTTTTAAAACCATTTTTTCATATTGAATACTTCTGTTCATTTTGTTTTGTTGTTTTTTTAGCTGTTAATATGGTTATTATCCACTGAATGTTGGTTTATCCTTCTGAGTGATTTTCAGGTTTTTTTAAAGTTATGCACACCTTTGTTCAAACAGAATCGTCTTGAGAATCTCAGTGCCTTCACAGAGAAAACCGTAGCGCTGCTCTGATGTGGGGGTCAGAGCCCAGGGCCACCGAGGCACCATGCGGTTCTCTAGAGCAGGGTCTGAAGTTACTAGCCGGTCTCTTTTGCCAAAACCCATAATCGCACTGTTCTCCTTTCCCCTGTCCCTTGTCCCTGAGTTCTCTAAACCCTCAAAAATTTTTTTAAATGAAGAAAAACCTACTTTCTTTGGGGCTATTCATACTGACCTATAAGGTGCTCTGTGTGTGTGTGAGATTTCCATCTCTTTTATGAAAAGGGAGGGTGGCAGGAATGTTTTCCTTTATTTTGTTTTTAACTTGGCGTGCAATTATCTAATATACTGGAAAGTACAGGAGGTGCTAAATACAGCAAGTTATATTTGGAATTTAAAAAACACAAATCACATGTTCTAATATTCTTGAAAAAGAGTTGAATTAGCCTTCGTTCTTCTATACCAAATGCTACAGTTTATCTCTTCTCTTTCTCTAATGATAGACTCGATTTTAAACACATTCAGATCGCATTATCCAGACTGATATTTTTTATTCCTGTGTTGTTTGTCAAGTACATTTATAGCAGTTTTGCAGATAATAGTTGTGGATTATATAAAATGTAAAGTTAGTCCTTGTGATGATTAGTGGAGGTAAATTTGCACAATTTGTTTTTGAGGAAGGTTCGGGGCATTTGAAAATAGGAAATAATTTTTTAAATTCACTTTTTAAAAAGGAAAATCATATGCATAGCCAGTAAATATATTCTGCTTTTGTTCTTCTTGACCAAGATTAAGCATACGTTTGTAGAAGGAAACCTTTAAATATTCTACCATTAACTAAGACTGCTTTTGCTAGATTTTATTTTATAGCTATTGAAGATGAGAACACAATGGGATTCTTATGTTTAAATTTTTTTTTTAGATTTTAAAAATATTTTTATATAGAGATTCCATTAATTTTTTTCTTACTGGAAATTTGGTCTGATACACATTTCAGTATGAGCATTTATATGAATTTTATCTCTGCATTTTTTAATCTCTTGGAGATATGTTTTGGAATTAATTGGATTTTAGAAATCTCAGAAAGTTTCTAGAAATACCTTCAGTCAACAGTGACATTGATTTCTCAGCCCTGCAGATGGCACGTTTCACGGGACCAATACTGAGGTCCTCTCACAGACGCCATCAGCTGTGTTTGGAGCGTAGGCCCTGTGTCAGGCCCAGGGAATAATGGCAGCCGGTGCAGGCCTGTGCCTTGCCCTGTGGGCTTTCAGTGGGGCAGGAGCTGCTGGAAACAAGATCAGCACGCTAGGGTACAGTGTGTGAGAGGCTGTGAGTGAGGTCTGCACAAAGGCCTGGGGAGAACCAATGAAAACTCTGGGGTCCAGGGGACATTCGAACGGCAGATGATGTCAGAGGTACGATTTGAAGAATGCGTAGGCCTCAGCCGTGGTAGGAGAACATTCTAGACAGGCTGAGAGGTGGTGTTGTGGCCTGGGTGTGGGAATTTACAGAGGAGGGAAATCTGAGAGAGAAGGTGGGGAAGGCGGGGAAGGGCCCGGTGTCCTGCTGAGGGCTCTGCGTGGCCCGGCGCTGGGCCGGGGAGATGCCGCCTGTGAGGGGGGCCGGGTGCGTGTTTCTGTGAGCAGGTGTGTGCCCTCAGACGGAGGTGATGGGCTGGTGAGCGTGTGCCCCAGGCCTGGCCTGGTTAGGGTGCCGTTGTGATGCTGTGGGTGAGAAAGATGGCGCCCCAAAATGAAACCCTCACGGCCAGGAGAGGAGCAGATAGAGGAGGAGGTGACACCTTCCCTTCCTGCTGTTGTATCCTGCTCCATTTTGTCCTAGAGCTTGTCTAAGGCAGGAACAGTGATCTGTTTATTAGGTGCCTGCTGAATGCCAGGCCCTTACTGGGCACACGTATTACTGACGATCTTTATAATAACCCTGCAGGGTTGGGGGTGTCATCCTTCTCTTGGAGATGAGAGTGCAGCTTATAGAAGGTCACGGGACCTGCCCTGGGGCCCACAGCTAGACCACTGCATGAGATCGCGTTTAAGATCTGTGTCAGCGACATGGGATGAGCAGGCCCGGAAGGAGGCAGGGGTGCCATAAGGTGATTACGGATGTGTCCCTCCAGCCACTGGCCATCATCCAGGCTACCGGCCAAGATGGCGTTAGCCAGAGCAGGAGAGGAGAGGGTGCGGTTCTGGGCCCTGGGTTACGGATCTGATTCTGGACACACTGTATCTGGAGCACTTTATTTATTTTTTATTTTTTATTTTATTTTATTTTATTTTATTTTTAAAGATTTTATTTATTTATTTGACAGAGAGAGACAGCAAGAGAGGGAACACAAACGGGGGAGTGGGAGAGGGAGGAGCAGGCTTCCCGCGGAGCACGGAGCCCGATGCGGGGCTTGATCTCAGGATCCTGGGATCATGACCTGAGCCGAAGGCAGACGCTTAACGACTGAGCCACCCAGGCACCCTATTTTTTATTTTTTAAAGATTATTTATTTGTGTGAGAGAGAGAGAGGGGGGCAGGCGGGCAGGCAGAGGGAGAAGCAGACTCCTGGCTGAGCAGGGAGGCCGATGTGGGACTTGATCCTGGGATCCTGAGATCATGACCTGAGCCAAAGGTAGACACTTAACCAACTGAGCCACCCAGGCGTCCCTTGGAGCACTTTCTTAATTTCCTCATAAAATCATACGATATTGGACCTCAAAAGAATCCCAGGGGTCATCTTGGACAGTATTTTTCACTGAGTTTTCCTCAATCAACTTATCTTACTGAAGTAACCTTTTGAGACAGACGAAGTGTTAGCTGCTCATCAGGATGCAGTGAGTAACAGGTTTGGGGGTCAGGTGGGTGGGACAGTCTTTTTGTGGGTACGGTCACGTACTGCTTTTATGCTTACCCCTTCCGCACCCTCCCCCACTTGTAAATTCACAGTCTTCACAGGAACGTGAGGTTAATCTGCAGGAGCTGTGTCCCCAGTGTCTAGTTACAAAAATCGGCAGGACAGATGGGACTTCCCTTGAGTCATACACCTGGAGGGGGAGGCACAGCTGGGGTTGGGGATTCTGGCCCTGAGGCCATTTCTCTGCTTTTCAAATCAACATCTTCAAAGCACATTTTTATGTATGTATGTACGTATGTACAAAAAGGTGCTTTTATTATAGCACAGGGACAGGACCTGTGGGCAGACAGAGCTGCGCTGGGATTGTGAGGGGTAACTGATGGGGGTTAGGGATGAAGTAAGTCTCTAAGGAATTTGTGTATGCTGAGAGCAAGGTCTCCAAGACCTCACAGGACTAGCTATTGTCAAGGTAAGGTTAGTCCTTATTGTTTTAGCAAAGCGTTAGTCATGAGACCCTTCAGATGTGTGTCAGTGGGCCACATGTTGAAAGAGGAATTTTAGCATATCCTGGGTGTTTATGGTTATCAGAGTGGGTGACACTGGCTAGAGCAAATCTTCATTGGTAAAACATTAAAAAAAATCCTTGAGGGAGTTGTAGGGGTGTTACACCCTGTATGTCTCAGGGATTTATCAGTGGGCTGCAAGTTGTAAGGAGTCCTCATTGTAGCTTCATTTCTCTTGCCTTCAAAGCACATTTAAAAAGAGTTTGAGGAAAGTCATTTAGGGTGAGAAAATAGGAAAGAAAAGAACTTTCATTTACTTTTTGTTTTATGGATTTTGGTAAAATTTCAAGGTCTTATTGTGATTTAGTGGAAAGCACTTATAATTGGAGTCAGAGACTGTCTCTTCCTCTGGTGGTGGGGTGCCTTCTCTAAAGCTGTTTCCTTTTGAGAATATGTTATCATTATGGGAATTAAGACATTAGTATTAAACTATAAGATGTTATTTTTGAATCCTAATATTTATAAATACCTGGAAAATTCAGCTGTGTGGATTAACTTGCTTCGAGAAAGAAAAAG